ATGGAACTGTGTGTGACCTCCTCCCTGGGGGACAGGCAACCGAAAAGTGGATGAAGGGAGACGTCGGACAGGGCAAGATATGACAAAATACCCATTTATAAACTATCAAGGGCTCATGTGGGAGGGGGGAGCGGGGAGGGAGGGGAAAAATGAGGACCTAATGTCGGGGGTTTCAATGGAGAGAAAATGTTTTGAGAAATGATGTACAAATGCGCTTTACACAATTGATGTGTGTATGGATTGGGATAACAGTTGTATGAGCCCCTAATAAAATGTTAAAAAAGAAAAAAAAATGTTCATTTTAAACGAACATGGTCTTCCTTCAGTGTGTTTCTTTAGCAGTTCAATGGATGTATTTTCAAGTTACTTGTGTTGGTTACAAGTTGGGTTGTCATCTGCATGGTCGGCAGTAAGAACACACTGGCAGCTCCTAGGAAGAAAGCCTGACCTTTCTACTCTGGTAAAGTTAAGTCTCAGAAACCACAGGGGGTCTCTATGAGTCAGCATTGACGTGATGGTATTGAGTTTGTTTTGGGGGGTATTTAAAAAAAGAAATGACTAACCCCAGAGAAGATACCTACAAAAAAAATACCCAGTTGAGAGCACGTCCATTTCTTTAAAGCTTATTAAAGTAGTAAATAACATGGAACAAACTGGTTTAACAAAAACCCCACCCGTCACTGCAAAACATTACCACACAGAGAACTGCTCGTGGGTTTCCAAGGCTGTAACTCTGTAGGAGAAAAAAGCATCCTTTCTCCCAAGGAGCAGCTGATGGATTCAAACCGCTGGCCGTGCAGTTAGCAGCCCAAATTGTATAAAAAACAAACTCACTGCCATCAAGTTCATGCCGACTTAGAGTCATAATCAAATTACTGTACATTAACAGCACACATGAAAGTACTGCAAATATACACTCAAACCTTCTGACCCACAAGGCAGGTTGCTTTAGACTCACATCAAGTTGGCTGCCTCCAACATTGCTGAGACTGGAAGCAATCTCTAGCGAGATGGCAAAGAGGACCAAAGGAGATTTATAAATGTCTGCCAATAAAACACCTAGTATTTGGGTTTCTAAAAAGAGCCCTGGTAGCATAGTGGTTACTCATTGGGTGCTAACCAAAAGGTCAGCAGTTCGAAACCACCAACTAAGCCCGTGGGAGAAATCCCTTCTCCTGTAAAATCAGTTTCAAAAACTCACAGGGTCCCTGAGTCAGCAGTGAGTTAGCTGGTAGTTTGTTTTTTGTTGGGTTTTTAGTTATGGGCACAAACTTGGGACACTGTGGTGTTTGGCCTAACACTGACAGCTTCACTAAGGAAATACTTCTTCCCACTATGGACAGGGCACTGCCATTCCACATTGAACAGGTATCCTGATGTTAAATATAATGAAAAATATGCAAATCAGGGGGAAACCTGACAAAGCCAAATCCCTAGCTTTGGGTTACTAGAAAGGACTATATAGTAGATATGATATGGTTAAGGTAGCAAGGGTTACATTTTTCAAATGCTCTTATTCAACTGGGAAAATTCAGTGTGTTCTACATGAATACACACACTCTTTTAGGAGAAAACATCAGGATTTCAGTTTGTATTTTAAATAATATCAATTATGCATGTTTATTTATAATATTAAAATTTCTCGTCAGTGAAACATGTTACAGTTACCTATAAACAATAGTTTTTCACTATTTACAATTTGAATTATGGAATGTTTATATACTGTCAATTGAATTATAGAAAAATTATATGAAAAATATCAATCTGATGCCCAATCCTTTACAAAAACCAAAATCACTCTCATTGGGTTTTCAAATTGTCAAGTGTAAATAGGATGAGGTCAGCAATACTTAAGATGAGGCACTTCAACAACCACCCAAGAGGCTGTTTACGTGTACAAAACCGTAAAACACAATTTCTATTCCATCTTAACTGATTTCAGCAGTGATGAATCTGAGAGGGTCTATACAAGGAATGTTGTAACACTTTTATTTTTTGTCCTTCTCCCACCACTTGGTCCAAGACAATGTAAGTAAACAATACCTAAGATAAAAAGACATCACTACAGACAAGGTAAAGATGTGCTAACAGACACACACAAATGAAGTAGACATTATCTAAAGACACTTGGGTTTCAGAAAGTGACTACAACACTAATACTTGTGCATAATTTTGTCATTAACATGTATAAGTACATTGGTCTCTCAAAGGCAAACTATTTACCAAAGTCCGAGACAAAAATTCCCCCAAATGGTATTATACTGCAGCATTTAATTAACAGAATCACAATTTATACAACTGTACATACACTTTCAAACACTAAACTTTTAAAGTACTCAAACTAAAAAAATCCCCAAAATCAAATTACCCAATGCTTTCCAGATTAGAGCTTACAATAAAATAAAGAGCAGATGGTTTATTTTGTCGGTCTTTTTCAAAAGACCTTGGCTAATTCATTGTCAACCTTAAATCATGTCCTCTTTATAGCTACACTGTCTATTTTGGTAGATAAGTTCACAAATATTTGACTAAAGTATACTTTTCACAATTTCCTTTTTTCAGCCATTAATTAGAAAAATGGCTGACTCAATTTTTTTTTTAAAGCATCGAAGAGGTTTTATTCAGAATATGTAGCTGAAAGAAAAGCAAAATGGGAGACGGTGGAACACATCATCAAAATCATGTCTGCCTGGGCACTGATGGCTCAAATGTTTAAAGCTTGCTCAGAAATTAAAAACCATGATGTGAGAATCTATGGGGGGAAAAAAAGAGCTGCACTGTGTTATTTCTGGTCATTAGTAAGCTGGTAATTCTGATACCCAAATACCTAAACATCTTTTAATAAACTACAGCGCATTAGTGTTCATTTGAACACGGTCAGTTGTTCCAAGTCCATTTACCCCAGCCATTTACATTTTAATAGAGTTCACAATATTACAGTTTAGAACCTCATGGTTTTGGAGACCTGACGGCTCCGTGGGTGTGCATACACACATGTAAGCTCACGAGTGCACGTCCTCCCGGCAGTCGGCCCCTCGAAAAGGAGGGGCAGGCTTTCCAGCCACACAGCCAGACCCAGAAGTCTCTTCCAAAGCTCGAAGCCGACCAATTTTCTATGAACCGTAAAGAGAACATACTTATTTAGAATGACAAAAATTAAATGTGGCAAAGGTAGTGACTTTTATTTACAATTGCATGGATCAAGATTACAATAGAAACACCAGTGAAACCATCAGAACAAAAGCAATGATTTATTGGTAATGGCAACAAATGAAACTTTGACAGTCTCTGGCGAGAATCAAGCAATTATCCAGGAGCTGTAGATTGGACTGCAACATGGTCTTCCAGTGTCTTTTGTACCTTAGTGACTCTCTCCTTTTTTGCCAACTACCTAGAAAACAAAAATAACTTTATCTGTACAGAATATAGATTTATAAATGCAGGTTATTTTCACAAACACCATTGTGATCATCATTTTTCAAACCTGTGTAACTTTTATGCCTGAATCTCTTTTTGCATGCAGTGTAGTTTCACTGCTGAGGCTAACTTTGCCCCCACCTCCCCACTCCCTGTCCCAACCTCAAGGAATTAAAAATGAAATACATGCACGCTATTTTCTGTTTCCCACACTGTTTTCAGTAATGCAAATTTTCAAACAGGGTTGACAGTTTAGAAAAGTTAATTTAAAAAGATGCGGCTATTTAAGTTTAAAACCTTTGGCACAATGTTTTAGGCAATTAGAAATCAGGTGTCGATCACAAAAATAATCAAATTAAAAGTATGTGTGTTAATTGTGTATGTTTGTCGTCACTGTGTATGTTTAATTCTGGAATTAAAACTGTGTACGTCATACGCATGTCTTTGGCTCAACAGGTTTCTAGACTTCTCCCTTAGGATGTAGACATACAATGAGACAGATCAAAGATGACTAATTTTTCCCTGGTTTCTTGTTTTTGAAACTCTTGGTTGGTACAAATGTAATATTATCAAAATGCAGACAACAACCAATTCTATGAATGATTCTAAATAACTTCAGTATTCGAGGGCTCTAAAATATTTCCTAAAAAATTAACACTGCTATTTAATTAAAAAAAAATTTTTTTTAAACTGCTATAAATGTGATGATGTAGAAATGCAAATAACCCTGGTTTATACCAATAAGTCTGTGGGAAGGTTCTTAAAGTGTGTTCGAATCAAATTATTTACTTCAAACCTAGAGCCATCATTACAGAAATGCCTCTAAAGAAATCAGCTTCAAAGATACTATTTAATGTCTATCTGTTTACAGAAAGATTTCTGTGTACACTTGTAAATGTAGCTTTTCAATTTTAAATTGATTCTGTTCCAAATGGTAGTGTTTGTACCCAGCAAAACTCATAAAGGTCATCAGTAGATGTTTGGTTTAAAACAGAACACAGCTGGGTCCATGTCATCCAAAGGAGAGAGGAGTACAAAAAACCCTTTTCACCGAATCCTCGGTCACACAGTGCGTGTGAGAAATGCTTTATGCTCCACGTCAAGGAAGACGACTTCTGTTGCCTTAAAGACTGTTTCTCTGTTCCCAGAAAACCAGGTGAGAAAGCCCAACACGTCTGAAGGATGCTAGAGACAGTCGTCTCACAAATGGGGACTGGCTATGAGTTAAGCAACTGGGGGTGAAGTGACGGGAAAGAAGGCAGGTCGCCTCTCTGTATCAGCAAGAAACAGTGATCGTTATCTTGAGAACACACCAAAAACATGGAGCTATTAGATGAAGCAGAAGAAAGCCAAAACCACTACTATTAAAACTAAACCTTTAGCATATGTGATACAGCAGAAAATACAAATCTGCATACTATTTCACAGGTTGATAACTCTCAATTTGCCGATGTGTACTCTCTGCAAAAAAGAAGAAATTCAGCATTCCGAAATAAATTTTCTCCCACCACCATAAAGTTCTTTTATTTACTCTTAAGTCTTTATATTGCACCCTAGACAGTAAATTCTAGGTACATAAAACACTGGGTGTCAAAGATAGTTTATTCAGTAAACAATTCACTGATCTTCCATGCCAGCAGTAGGGAGTACACCCACATCAGTCACTGAAACAGGCTTTGGAGCCAACATCCCAATGAGAAAAGAAAACCCAGACCCAGTGGTACTGTAATAGTCATCGTATGAAAGAATCTGATAAACATCGTTCATACCCATTTTCCAAAATGAGTCTATAGAGCTTAAAAATGAAAATTAAAGTTAGATAGAATTAAAGCATCATCACACAACTTGTTCAATCTGAAAGCTACTTATAATGATGCAAGTTTTAATATGCTGACTTCCCAAAATGTGGTATAATATTAAAGAGACAGTAGAACGGCAAAAAAACCCAAAATCATAAAAGCTGGGTGAGCAACAAGGGATGGTGATGAAATCATATAGTTGCAAGCCCGAAACAAAACATAAAGGCCAACTGAGAAAGATGAGTAGGATGGGATCAGAAGAAAGAGGTGGTGAGGTGCTAGAGGTCACGAGAATGCCGCTCCAGATGGTAGAAGCTGTGGAGATCTTGCCCCAGCAATGGCGAGGACATGGGAAGGGTGAGAGCAGACAGGTGCGAGGTGAGCGGAGAAGCAAGGAGAGGAGCAGTGAGATAAGGTCAGTCTCTATTTTACTTCACTTTAAAAAGTCTTCTGTGTTTAGTTCATTTGAGTTGGATTAAAAAAGCTGAAAAATAAACAGACAGAAATGTTACAAACAGCTGATATGGTGAATGGCCAGTTTAGAAACATCTCTATCACAGGGAGAAGAAAAATAGGAAACATAAAACGGTTCTCTCTGCTTTCACATGCACATCATCCCCCGCGAAGCAGAAACCCTAACAATTTTGTTCATTTTAAAGCTTATATTTTAATACTTTTGTAAAGAAGCAATCCTTATAAACAACACAACAAAGCCAAGAAAACATCTATTTCCAATTAAGATGCAAGCGTTTCATGCGGCAACAACAAAGCCACTCACAACACCTATAACCTAAGTGTGTGTCACCTTGCAGGATGCCTTTAGGAACCTGAGTGAGAGGTGACCGGATTATTCCAGTTGATCAATTCTTACAAGTTCAACCTTCTAAGTTGCAGCAACATGCACGGTGGCCTAAGATTTCTATCCACATCCAAGACTCATCAGCATTGCTTTAGCTTCCGTCAGCTCAGTGACATAAAGGTCAATGGCATTCTGAAAGCTACAAGTATCTAGAAACAACTCCCAAGAAAAGTGCAAACTGAAACCACTGCACACTGCATCTCTTTTACTCTCCTTACCCTCAGCTACTATCAGAAGAGTCCGCCCTGCGCTGCAAAATGGGTGTCAGAGCTGTGTGAACATTCGTCATTCGATCCCCAGGGGCAACCCCTTTGGAAATTCCCCCTGAAGAAAGGCAAAGGAAAGCAGCACTCCACTGGCGTGGCCCGAAGGAGCCCTGCACCTTTTCTTCAGCCTTGCTTCAGTCCCTCATTCCCTTCACCTAGAGTCCCTTCCATCAGACCTCGGTGTGCACAGCGAAGTTCAAGGCCCTCTTCCTCCTAAGTACTCTCATGACTGCTCAGTCACTTCGGCAGAGAAGCAAAGGCTATGGGGCTGGGAAGCAAAGCTGATTTGTGGAGGACTAGGCCCTGGAACTTGGTTTTGATTCATTTTCCACTTTCCATGTGCTTGTGCATTCTTCTTGACGTTCATAAGCTCATTATATAGAGAGAATAAAAGCATGAGATAGCATGCTTAGCATACCCAGCAGAGTACTACTCCAGGTTTAAACACCATACCATAAACCTGGCATTTCCTTCACTAGAAACCAAACTCATGTGCAATTTTAAGTAATTGTGGACCAAGCTGGCCAGTTTCAGTTAAACGTGAACCCTGTGGATTTTCTACCGTACTTTTCTACCACTGAAGTTGTTGGCTCAGTATGATATACAAACAGTGAGCATTTAGCTGAGTTTTGAGGAGTAAACCACTAAGACAGCGGTTCTCAACCTGTAGTCGTGACCCCTTTGGGGGTTGAACGGCCCTTGCACAGGGGTCGCCCGATTCATAACAGTGGCAAAATTACAGTTATGAAGTAGCAAAGAAAATAATGTTATGGTTGGGGGGGTCACCACAACATGAGGAACGATATTAAAGGGTCGTGGTGTGAGGAAGGTGGAGAACCACTGCTCTAAGACAATGAATGACTATTACCACAGGCAAAAAAAAAAAAGCTCCTTCAGAATCCTCTAAAAGGACATGACTATTGCTATACTTTTTTTATGTTAACCAATTAAAATGATCAAACATTAAAAGTAGGGGGACCTAGCAGCTCAGGAGGAGGTGACCCATTGGCAGTAGTTTGCCAGTGTGGCCCAGAGCCTTCTTGGGAAGTCTGTGAGGTCAAAGTCATCATCACTTGAAATCATCATCGGCCTCATAAACTCTCATCCTAACTGCACAGCCATTTCCAGAGGCTAGGTAACATGGGTTATCAAAACTACTTCAATATAGACCCAGATATGACAGTGTGAGAATTCTATTAAAGAAATATGCTTAAACTGTAAAACAACACTGATCTCACTAAATTTTTTTTTGAAGGGGATAGAATATGGTTCTTTTAATTTCAAAGTGTTACTTTTATTAACATGTAATGAGTTTTATTATTGATATTTGTAAATCATATTTTTAGTGTTTGTTTTAATTTCCAATGTGATAAAAATGAGATGCAGCCACACAAATATGAGATTTAATAGTTTTGGGAACAAAAAGTTGGAGAACGGCTGCTCCACTCATTAAAGTCGGGTAGCGAAGTAGTACAGAAGTCATGGCTAACTTACAAGACAAACACAAACCCAACACTTTGCTGTGCTAAAAAAGCTCAAAATGGTTGTAGCTTCAAGGTCACAAAAACTGAAAGGATGGGAGGAGAGAGCTAAAAGCTGAAGGGAAACAGAATCTTAGATGAAAATTAGAAAACTGTTAACCAAATGATCACCTGGTAAGAGAGAGAAGGACAAAAGATAGAAATCCAACATCAGCAGCACACACTGAGGTCAGGAGCAGGAAATCACAAATTCACAGCCCCAGCAAAAAGCAGAACTTAGGAAATAATTAAGTTAAAAACAAAACTATGCACAGTTAATGCAACGTCAGAATATCAACTGCCAACAAGCAAATCGACAGGTAACCGACGTCTGTTGCTCACACGTTTTGCCAATGACATGTTTTACATCATAAAAATGCAGATATTTCTTTCCTGCTTTTGACCTGTCACGGTACATGCCAAAAAATGTAACAGACATGATTATTTCTGCAGCTCCTAAAAGTTAATATGCTGTGAGATAGAAGAGTAGAAAAATGACCACCAAGACATTGGTTTGCAAAGCTTTCCAGTTTGTACAGTAGCAAACAACTGTCATGCAAGTCCATCAACTTTTCTGCCACTGAATTCAATGAGATCTGTAGACACCAGCAGGGCAGCTAAGAGTGCTGCAGATACTCTGCAGCTCCCTCGCACACCAGGCTGGGGCTGAAGCGGGAGTGTGCTGCTTCTCCCCAGCACCGGCAGCCCTGGGGAAACTGCCATTCTCTTTGTTTTCAGTTCGCCAGCGTACGCCAGCTCCTGTCATCAGAAACACTGAGACACTCCAAGGTCCCTTGTGCCGCCACACTCAACGTGTGCTGCTCACACCTGGTGTTCTGTGCTGATCAGCTCTCCACCTCATCTATAACCTGGGGCTGTGTGTTTACGAGCAGCCCTAGGGAACTGTTCAGACTGAGGATGCAAGAAAGAGATTAGACCTCACTCCTAAAAATCACAAGCACCCTATAAATTCTCTGTAAATCCTTAGAATTTTCCTTATTAAAAAATATATATACATACATATATGCAAGTTTAGAAAGTTAGTAAATCAATGTAGTAAAACTGAGCCCAGTACTTCCAATTAAAATTATTCAAGTCACTTAAAATGTTTTATTAGAAGACAATGGCAATCAAAATCTTAACATCAGCAAAGTTCTAAAACTCCACTTTTCAAAACTTTTACTTATTGTGTTCCTATGAGGGGACTTCAACAAGTTCATGGAAAATGCCATTATCTTTGAATTACATTTTTCCACAAACCCTTTGAAGCTCCCTCTGTTTTCTATTATTTACTACTTTCTATAGCCAACTTAGGATTTCTACCTTTTATTTAGATGCTATTAATTACTAGGCATGATATTAAAGAGATTAACCATTATTACTAAAAACTAATATTCAGTTGAATATTTAAATGTAATTAGGAGAACTTGCTGAGCTTAACCATTGAGTTCTTACAAAATTTCATTACATAATATGATTTTAGATCTTTATAGTTAAAGCAAAACTGTCTAAGTATCATACGTACTCAGGTGTAAGCTGACCCAGATAACAGGTAAGGCACCTAATTTTACCACCAAAATGGCATTAAAAATGTGCTGAGAAACTCAGCTTCTACTCAAATACATACGGTGTAGGAGATGACACCTTGAAGACTATGTTTTCACGTAAATACGCTTTCCACCAACTTACTCGTTTGAAGTCATTCATGTTTGTTGCTTGGACTGGAGTACCAATAAAAGTAAAATACGAAATTTTTGTTGTTTCTTCTTCACCTTGATTGGACTGAACAAATATCTGCACATTAAAAAGGGGGGGAAAGAATTTTTACATTTAAAATTGCAATCCTTTTTTAATGAACATGCTTTAATTTTTTTCCTGGAATTTTCTAAAAAACTTTTCAATTGTGATTTCAGTTTGAACAAACTGGCTTCTACTCAACCCTTTATACACATTTTTGTGACACTGACTGTAATTGGTTCAGAGCACTTTTCCTCTTCCCCTCCCAGCGCTAACTATCAGCAGCCATTATGCAATATTCACATAAATTTTGGGTAATTTTATAAAATGTACAGCTTATAACCACAGTAAGTATCAATGCTGTATTCTAGGGGGGAAAAATGGTGCCGTTGTTGTTGGCTCCTGCCGCTGGCTGCTATGCGCAGAATATAGCGAGCCCGTGTGCGCAGAACAAAACTGCTCCAAAGGGCTTTCAGGGCTGTGGCTTTCCAAAGAGACCACCAGGATGTCTTCTTAATATCACTACATGGCTGGGAACCAGTGACCTTCTGCCTAGTGGTCTACACTTCAGTTTTCCTCATCCAAGAACGTCTTTAAAGAGTAAATAGGGCTCAATGGAGAACTATAACACCCCGATTCTGACATGACTACTAATGGCTCAGAAATTCAGGCATGAAGTTTTAAGACACCTAACTAAGCACGGAACAACAATCAGCTCAGCTGTTTGCTGAGGGCAAAGGGAATATGGAATGAGTATTAGAAGAAGGTCATTTGAAATACCAGCTATGGCCACGTGACCACTTGAAGAAATGAGGGCCATCCTGGTTGAGTATTTCCTCCTTGTGTATGTGGATCAAATACTTTTTCTTTTGTTCACTTATGAAATACAATAAAATATAATGGGGTTAAAAAAAAAAGGTAAATAGGGCTTCACAAATGTATCATCACCACATGTGACCTGGGATAAAGAATAAACCACAAATGTATTCATTTAAGTATACATGTTCTAGAACAAACTGTGAACAAATGTGGTTATATATATGTGGGTGTATGTGTATATGAACTAGCACACAGACAGGACCTCAGTAGCATATACAGTTAAGCACTCAGCTGCTAATCAAAAGGTCAGTAGTCTGAATCTACCTAAAGGCTTTATAGGAGGGAAAACCTGGCAATTTGATTCTATAAAGGGTATAGCCATGGGGGTGTTCTACTCTGCCACATGCAGGCAGTATGCATAGAAATGGACTCTACATCATCTACCAATACCAACATATACCTATGTGTCTGTGTGTGTGTCTCTCTCTCTCTCTCACACACACACACACACACACACACACACACAATTTGAGGACAAAAACATTAAACTACTTTCTTCTTTAGGTTACATGGATAAATTACAAAGAAAATGTAATTAGTCCATTACAAAGTTTTACACACTTCAAACTGAATGGACAAATAACTGTTTTAAAGGCTTATTTATAATCAGCTTAGGATACTCCTAAGCAGTGGTTCTCAACCTTTCTAATGCTGTGACCCTTTACTACAGTTCCTCATGTTGTGGTAACCCGCCCCCCCAACCATAAAATTATTTTCGTTGCTATTCATAACTTTCATTTTGCTACTGTTATGAATCAGGCGACCCCTGTGAAAGGGACATTCGAGACCCCCAAAGGGGTCGCAACCCACAGGTCGAGAACTGCTGCTTTAGAGAGCCCTGGTTAGGCACTAGGCTAACGTCAAGGTCAGCAGTTTGAAACCACCAGATGCTCCTCACAAGAAAGATGAGGGTTTTCTATTCCCCCAGAGTTACATCTTGGAAACCCACAGTGGGTGGGTTCTACCTTGTCATATAGGGTCGCTATTAGTCGGAATCAATATGATGACAGTGAGAGGAGCCGCAAGATAGTAGTGTCACCCCAAAGCCCTTTAAATAGACCTGAATGAAATACTACTTACAGTTACACTGTTAACATTCTGAAACTTAACATAACGAAGTGGGACAATACCGTCTTCTTTAATATCATCCTCTGTTAGTTCCAGAGCTTGTGTTGGTTCACTTCTTTCTGCCTCCTCAAAATCCATGGATCGGGGTAGATTGATAAAAATTTTAACATATTTCGGACCCTGACCTATAAAATGATAGAATAAGAAGAAATATTAAAAACCACAAGCATGTAATATTTTGCTTTGTCACTGTATTTACACAATACACAAGCACTTACCGACACAGAAACACATAGTAATGCCATCGAACAATTAGAGGTCCCACTATTGCCCTAATTGATTAAGCTTCGAGCTGGTTCACCCCCTGATGAGTTTTCTTTTCTACCCCAGATATATTTATTTAGAACACCTGCATTTTAACAAGAAGTACCTGGGCCCTAATTAATTCTAGGAAGCAAACCTAATCTTGATTCTCAAACCAAAGGCAACACACACAAAATAAAACAGCAGACCAGTATCTTTTATGAATATAACTGCAAAAGTCCTCAATAATACTAGTGAACAGAGTCCAATAACAGCATATTAAAGGAGTCATACCATGACCAAGTGGGTTTCCTCCAGGAATACAGAATGGTTCAATGTTAGAAAAACAATTAACGCGATACACAAGGAAAAGGTTAAGTTTAACAAAATAGTTATATAATGAGAAGGAGCAACTACAAAAAGGAGGGGAAGAGCGGCTATACAAATGGAAGAATGTAATCTCTCAACTGTACCTATGAAAACTGTTGAATTGGTGTATACTTAGCTATGTATATTTGCAACAAAATTAACTATAAATAAACAAGGGCCAAAGAAAAAGATTACAAAAAAAGAAGAAAAGGATTATAAATAAACAAGCACACAGAAAAAAGAATCACCTGGGGATCTTGTTAGAAGGTAGATTCTGATTCAGTGTTACTCAGGTGGAAATGCAAATTCTCAGCAGGGAGTAGAATTGGAATTAACTGGTTCAAAGACCTGATAAAAACACACTCGAGGTGCTCCAAATGTAGGACTTACAATAAAAACTCAGTATTGTGACAGTCATTCTTCTTGTACCTTCTAGACCTGCCAAGCACTATACGAAGTACTACATTAAAGGGAAACACAATACACTCATTGCCCTTAACTGCAAAAACTATACTAATGTAAACAGTCTACTTGTGTGGAGGTGCAGTGAAGGGACAGATTATCCCAGGATGTTTGTTTTGCCAGTATATAATTATTTCACAAGTAACGTTTGAAGTACACATTTGACAGCTGCTAGACATTGCTACATTTTGTAGTTGAGGAGAAAGCATTGTCAGTGACAGAATGCCAAGCCCCACTGGAAAGAGTAGGGCATACTCTGAGCAAGCCAACAGCTGTCGAATGCCTTAGTCTCCTGAACTTCCGCCGACAATCAAGGATATAGATTTTGTTGATGACTAAGGAATATTACGAACTTAAAAGTATTAATGAATTAATTAATAAAATAAACATTGATTCAATATCAATTTTTACAGTATTTGCTTTGAAAAATGCTCAGAAGCTATAATTATTCTAATTACACATTATCAACACACAAAAACTTTACAATAATGCCATCTAACAATTAAAGCCCCCCACTATTCTTCTAATCAATGAGAAAAACAAAAACTAGTCCCTCAAAAAAAACCCTAACAGCAACAAGAGTGGGTTCATGTGAACAAAGACCTTTTTTACAAAAAAGAGAAATTCCAAGTCTATGCAGTCATACTTAGAATATTACAATGTACACTGAAAGAAAGATGAAACAATTAATTGAGAAATAGAACGTTCAAGCCTCAGTTTCATCTATAATAGAAAACATTTGGAATAAATATCTCTTAAAAATTTCTGGAAATGGAAAAAAGTAAAAGTTCCCCCTTTTCTTGCTTTCATTCCTAATAATCCCACAACATTTGCCCATCCATTTATATCCATTTATACCCTTGGCTTGATCCAAACACAATGGAAGATGTGATAATTTCATTCTTTCCCAAAATAAGGTACATAGCTATCTCTATTTGTGAGACTGACTTAACGATGTGTCAACAGGTCTACAAAGCAGGAATTTAAAGAAAAACTGTCCTTAACTCACCATTATCTGGCCCTTGAAATTTCATGGAATAAAGCTTAACAGGCTGATTGAATGCCACGGTAATAAGTAGCTGTAAAGAAAATGATTACATCATCATTTTAAAAAGTTTCTTGGATACTCTGAATGTTTACAATGCCTAAAAATCATTAAAATCAACAGAAGCTAAAAATAACTCATCTCCTCTAACAAAGTCAAAGTCAATATAATATGGACAACCAGTTCAATTGAAAGCAGTTTGATTGGACTGACATTTTAGGACAATATATACCTTAAACGAAAAGATGGCAACACAAAGGTTTCATGGAGTATTTAAAATTGAGACTTAAAAAGTGTAACTTAAGGTCTTGAGATCCAGCAATTGGCCAAAGAAAAATTACTTACTAACAAATCATATGAAATTTCCTGCTTATAACATAATTTACCTACATACTTTAAGCATAACAGTTTCTTTCTAGTTGCCTCGGACAGTAAGCAGAGGAGAGTTAAGAACAGATGGAGCACATGTATGTAATGGCCTCCATGACCACTGTATCTTTTGCCATGAGATCAGACCTAGACAGTGCCTGATATCATTATGGACCGTTTGATCAAAGAAGCTTAAGACCAAAAGAGAGAAAATTGCAGAACAGAATTTAAAATTCCTATGGACTCCAGGCACCGAGTCAAGGAGACCGGAAGAACCCTTGAAACTACTATCCTGAGCTTGTTATCTTTAAACCTTAAACCTAACCGGTCTCCTGAAGTCTTCTTTGAATTAAACAAGAATATCTGGGATCAAAGGGACAGTGACAACTCAAAAGATTAGGGAGGAACCCAGAGGGGCAGCAATTTTATGTTCATGAGGGAGGAACAACTCAGAAAAGGAAGGTGAGAATGCTTATGCAACTCAAATCACAGGTTCAATGCCACTAAATTGTACATATAAAAACTGTTGACATGTTTTGCTGACTTTTCTCAAAAACAACAAAAAAAGAAACTAGCTTTCACATAGTTATTGTCAACCTATTTGGAAGTGAGGCGCTAAAAGATACGGAGTACTCATCTAATTTTCACCAAAGACAAACTCAACTGGGTGGCTGAAAAGCACAGAAGAAGTTAGGTCAAGAGGGAGCAAAAGAGCCGAAGAGCGGCTACAGGCTCATCTCAGCAGCCCAAACTCACTGCGACTGAGTTCATTCTGATGCACAGACCCTGTAGGATAGGGTAGAACTGCCACTGTTGAGTTTTGGAGGTTGTAAATCTTTGTAGGAGTGGAAGGCCTCATCTTTCTCACTCAGAGCAGCTGGTGGTTTTGAACTACTAACCTAGGAGTTAGCTGTCCAACAAATAATCCTCTCTGCCACCAAGTCTCCTTAAGCCAATCCAAGAGTTCTGCAACTCTCCCTACTGCGGTGAATGCAGAAGGACTACACCAGGAGTCTGCACATCTTTGAGACAAGAGTCAATCCAGTCTTTCACAATGATTTAAACATTATCCAAGAGCCATATATATATTTTTATGGGCAAATGAAATCACCATTATCAGAATTATGTCCGCTATATTTTTTCAATTCTACTGCAGAGCCACATATGCATGCTGAAAGAGCCACATATGGAAACTGAAGGTTATAAAAATGAAAGGAAGAGGTGGTAATCTGGAAAACAGACACAAAAAAACAATGCAATGGGGCCATGACAAGGTTATGAGAACAGCAAGGTTATAAATCCTCCAAGCCAACATTAAGCAATTACCTGTTCATCGCAGTCGGATTCCAAAAAGGACAAGTCTTTCCGTAAACAGTTGTCAAATCCATGTTCATCACTTTCATTAAGACACTCACAGCCAGCTTTGTTAATAAAGGGCATTAAATCCATCTGGGGGAGGGGGAAACTTTGTCAAGACTTCTAGCAAGAATTTCGATTTGATACAAAATCTTTAAGTGTTGTTATCTCTAGAATAAGCAATTTAAAACAAAAATTCTATGCCTTTTAAAACTTACTAAAACATGTATAATAGTACTGTTATCTGAGTATCTAAGATCTATCACTAATTATTCAAGATAAACTAAACTTATTCCACTTGGTAAAGATATGAGAAACTGTTTCTTTGAAACTAAGAAAATAAAACATCAGTTCATACTTAAAAAAAATTTTGTTGTTGTTGTCTAAGAAAACATGCAGGTTAAAATTTGCTGCCTCCAAAGAAAGTTTTCTTTTTCCCCTCTTAGTCAGACTTTTAACTTATTTTCATTCAAGTACATTTTACATTTAAGATGAGTAAAACAATAAGGACTTAATATTATTAGTATGCAGACTTCCAAATGTACAAAGCCAGGGAGACATGCTGCGAGCCCATGCACCCAACCCAGCTACTTACAGTCCCAACTCGAGGGTACTTGCTTCATCTTTACCACCCACCCCCTCCCTGATACTTGCCCAAACTTCAGACATCTTTTCATTTCATTCATAGATAGTGCACATTTGAGAAATAAGGGCTTCTAAAAAGCAGATCCTCACATAATTCTCACAACTAAAATAATACTGTAACATTCGACACCCAGAGCCACAGTGGGGAAGGCTGCGTGAAGGTGGGGGCAGAGATGCAGCCTTTCTGGCATCGTTCCTTAGCCAGAAGCCAGGGACTGCCACCAGTCACCATACAGGAGAGAGGAGCAAGGAATGGATTCTCCCTCAGTCTCCAGAGAGAACCATGCATTCCAGAAACTTGATTCTAGATTTCTGGCCACCAGAACCAGTAAAACAATTTTTGTTGTTTTACCACAAGGTTTGAGATTATTTATTATGGAAACCCTAAGAAACAAATACAAATGCTTTGAAAATGGAGATTAAATTTTGCCCGGTGCCTTTTCTGCCTGTTTGGAGATGATTTTTCTCATGCATTCTATTAATAGGATTATATAAATGGAGTTACTAATATTGAACAACTCCTGCATGCTTGGAATACGCCCAGTTTTCAATTTTTTCTTAATATGTTGCTGTGTTGCTAGAGTGTGGCCACTTAAGTTTTATTTAAGATCTGTACACCAATCATCATCATTAAAGCTAATCTAGTTTTCCCTTTTTATTTATTAGTAAGTAGTTACAGTCACTGTAGAATTATCTGACTCTTAAAATTTGAGTAGAATATCCTTGTGGAGTTATCTGAACCCATTTGTAGAAGCTTTGGGCTACATTTTCTATTTCCTTTACAGTGATTGTTCTGTTAGGCATTTGGCAAGTGATGAAATTGATAATAAGAAATTTGATTTTTTTAGAAGAGTTTTCATTTCATCTACAAGCAAGGACCACTTTGAAAGTTTCCAAGTATTAATCTTCAGATGCATGGCCATCTTTCTAATACAAAGGGTCTTCCTTTATCTTTTTTATTCAGAAGACAAAAACAGATAGTTGTGAAACTTCTTGTATATATAAATAAATACCAAAGTATTAATAATCCCTTAGTATAAACCCTTTAATTATTCATGGAAGCTTACATGCTTTCAGTGTCAAAATGTTATATAAAAGGTATCACAGAGTAGAAATCCAAAAATGGGGAGAAGGGAAAAAAGAGGGATTTAGAAAAACGTTGCACTTTAGTGAGTGGCATTATTCCTGAATTTCATGAAAATGTTTGCCTCAAAGGTAGTTTCCACAAGATCCTTTAAATGTTTGTGTTCTATCTTACCCTGATGCCACTTCAATACTCTACACCTAGGAATGAGACTCCAGGAATCAGGACAACATTACTGTCATATTCCCAATACCTTGATAATGGAACCTAATCTAACTGGGTAGATTACTTGGAGGACAATTATTATACTTATGGTGGGGCACACGAAAAAGTACTGTATTGCATTTAAATAGCTGTAATAAACCATAATTAAAACCACTTGGCAACACTGACATTACAAGCTTCTAAAAGTGTGAAATAGGAAATAAACACCCCTACTATGGAACCGACTTGCCAATAAGGAAAAATCCAGATTGTAGGGCAGTCTGCAATATAGAAGATCTATCTAGACCTGCACTAGCCGATCTGAAACTCACCAGCCACATGTGCTAATCTAAAGTGCTAAGTCAGTTTTCTGCAGTTGCACTTGCCACACTGTGAAGGCTTGGTAGCATGCACAATGGTATGCCAAGAGTACATAACTGCCATACTGTTAGACAAGCACGAGTACACGTTCCAAGGCCGTCAAAGGAGGCAACAGGCAGGAAGGGAACCATATTACAGACTAACGACGTCTAAAGAGAATTATCAGCTTTAGTGTAATGCACACCCTCAATTTGATCCAAGAGGGTGGAAAAGCAGCTATAAAAACATTTTAGGGATAACTTTTAAAATTCAAAATTTTAAGTTCTATGTTAAACACAGTATCAATATCCATCCTCTTAGGTCTGATGATGATATTGTGGTTATGTAGAACAATGTTCTTGTTCTTAGGAACTAAATACTTTTAAATGATTAAACCAAGAGAGAAACAGCTAGTAGTGTTACTATGTTCACTTTGGTGATAAGAGCTTACTACACACACAGAAATGTTACTCTCAAACACTTCGTGCTTCAAGTTTGGGGTTAAACAAAGATTTGGGCATCCTATATAAATAAAGGCCATCTATAGTGTGATTTTGAGAAAGGCTGACAAATCTATAGTTAGAATCTAATAGCTCAGAGGGACTCAACAAACCTCTAGGGTCCAAGCACACACAAATCCAAGTTTGATTCAAGATGCTTCACATTCAAATCCCCCAGGATCTGATTTAGGGGGCATGAGTCAGCTCCATGAAGGTTTACTATGTACTATTTACTCATAGGAAACGTGCAGGGGAAAGACGCTATTATTCCATTTCTTTCCCAAAATGTCAATGTAATTTTAAAACTAAGTCATTGAAATTAAAAAAAAATTTAGACAAAAATACTTCTGAGTTAGAATCTGTTTGATTGTTACTCCTTTGTAAATAGCAGGCGTCCTCAAACTATGGCCCACGGGTCACATGTGGCCCGCCGAGGACATTTATCTGACCTGCTGGGTGGTTTTGCCCCATTTGTTTTTTTACTTCAAAATAAGATATGTGCAGTGTGCATAGGAATTTGTTGAGTTGTTTTTTTTAAACTATAACCTGGTCCTCCAATGACTCTGAGGGACAGTGAACTGGCCCCCTGTTTAAAAAGTTTGAGGACTCCTGGTCAATAGTAATGCCTCAAACACATCCTAAAAGAGATACACAGGTCTCTTTTTTAAATTAAAGTGGATTACAACTATTTGACCCAAAGAATTTTTCTTTCTTTTTAAGTCCCTCTTTCTCTGCCTCCATTCTTACCAGGTAATAGTGTTACTAGCTGGGGGGGCCAGTACTCCACATACTGCACCGAGCACCATACCGTGAAGGAAGCTTTCTAGTCCAAGAAATCTATCTTTTCACTAACAAATCATGAATGCATTTTTGCGATGACCACAGTCACATCTATTTAGGATACAGATTTCTATTCAGAGACTCTTGGTCATGTTAAGCCTTTTTCTACCAGTGCTGTAAAAACAATGATTTTCTTGAGAAAAAGTTAACCAGTCTTAAGTATTTAATCTTGCCAAAGCCCAAATGGGTAAAAACTTTTAATTCCTTGATCTGACACCTGATGGAAAAAAATGAAAATGTTTTTAAAACTTTTTCACATTTTATCATAATATTTGCATGAAAACTAAATTTTTACTTCTTAAAACTTCATTTTTTCCTGCTCATTTCCTACCTGAAGCCAAACCACTGCTCCCACACTTAGCTAATGTGTAAGGCAGTATCCCTGTGGCTAAGCAGCAGAACTGTTGCGCTCATAAGACTTTTTCATGCAAACGCCCTTAGTAATAAAGGAAAAAAAATATAAAGATGTAAACACAGCAGTTTACAAGTCAAATGATTTCCAAAATTTTCCAAAAGGTGTCACAACCCTGGCTCATTTAACACATTGATATTTCCTAACCAGATACTACAATATCAAATTCTTATATAAAAATTATATTTTCAAAATGAGGAGCTGATACCAAGGGCTCAAGTAAAAAGAAAATGTCTTGAGAATGATGATAGCAACAAATGTACAAATGTGCTTGACACAATGGATGTGTGTATGAATTGTGATAAGAGCTGTATGAGCCCCCAATAAAGGATTGATTAAAAAAAAAGTTATATTTTCAGTGAATTCTAATTGTACTTCCTTAACTTAAGGTTGGCACCCTGGTGGAGTAATGAACTTCATGCTGGGCTGCTAACATCAAGGTCAGCAGTTCGAACCCACTGTTAGCTCCTTGGAATAAAGATAAGGGTCTCTGTTCCAGTGAAGATTTGTAGCCTCAGAAAACCACAGAGGCAGTTCTAATATGCCTTATAGGGTGACTGTAAGTCAGAATTGATTTGGTGGCACTTATTTTTTTTTTCAATCAATGCCAGTATCACAGGCATTGTTCTGAACTCTTACAAAAAAAGAATCGCTCAGATTTATCTAGCATTCTTTTTATTCAGTTTGTAAACCCATAGCATTTATCTGCTTAAACGTGTAAAGGAACTGCAAATAGTTCCAGGAAAAATTCCCTTATCATTTAATTCCATTTTTCCATGAACTTTCCAAATCCATCCTGTTTATCATGTAAGTGCTTTCATATATTAGCTTTACCTTTTTTGATTGAAGACATTGATTTTTTAAAACTCCATATTTTGATTTATGTATACAATAATCTTTTAAATAGAAAAGTTAAACCTATATTTAAAGATTTACCAATTTCTATAAACAAATCTGCTATAATGAAAAATTACTTATGAATTTTACTAAAGAGTTACATTATAAGCTATCCATATTCTGTAGCTTCAAAAACTATTCTTTAAATGTATCCTTAAAACTTTGAAAACTACATCCAACTAAGTTCTTATTTGGTACTAAAATAAAATCATGAACTAGAATTTTTTTTACTGGAACCAGAAGAGTTAGCAGGAGAGAAGAAGCAATACAAACTGGCAGCTAAGATAGTTTAGTATATGATGACCATATGAAGGGATTTCAAAAAGCTGTGGGGAAAAAATTCGTATCTTTCAATTCTATCTTTACACAAATTTTTTGAAGCCCTTTCACACATTAAAATTTACAAGTTATTTTACACAACTGTCAAAAAGAGAAAAATTTCCAAGGTACCGTATATACTCGCGTATAAGCTGATCCAAATATCAGCCAAGGCACCTAATTTTACCACAAATGCTGCCTTAAAAATGTGCTGCAATACTCAGCGTATACCCGAGAATATGCAGCATACTTATTCTTTAAGGGTAGAAGACAAGCATTTTAAAAATGCCTACAATAATACGTAAGAATTGTTTTCAATCGAGTAATCAACTAATGAACTTTCTTTATTCATTGAAAATATGCTGAACTAGTACAAGATCAAATATGAGAGCATAGCCCTGTTGTAGAAAGAGTGTTTTAGTAAGCATTGCTTTCAGACAACGATGATAAGAACAAAATCCCCTGCAATGATTTCAATCATAAGCATACATACGTAGCCTTTCGGGATATCTGTGTCCTCATTGCTTCCTGGGTCATTTTCTAAATGCTGCTTAATTTTTTCTTCTAAGCCCACAGCATCTGCTCCTTGATAATGATCAATTCTTACTTTGTTCCGGAAAAACAAAAATGTAGGTGTTGCAGATATATTGTTGGTGGCAGCTGTTCCCTAGAAATGGCAGGTTAGACAGTGTTATAAATAAAAACGAATCGTGAACTACTTTGATCGCACATTCTACATCTTTATGGAGGTTATATATGACAAGGATGAACTACAAACATTAAACTAGCCTATTACTAATTATAATTCAGGAAGCAACAGGCCAATCCTAAGGGGTCCCATTGGGCACAGCTACACCACTGTCGCCCCCCACTCTCAAGAGCAGCCCTGCATTTTGATCAGCTACAGTGGTTCTCCCAGTAGACTAATGAGCATATCATATAGAAATTGTGCTTTACAACCCAAGATGGCACACTACGAAGTGTACATCGTTTCTCAAAGGTAGCAACCGAGATGGGTATATATCCATCGGTACAAATCACTGCCTTTTAGGGAAAGGACAGATAACCTCTAAAGGACAGGAGCAAATGTGCCCACGAAAGAAGTCAAATTGCAACCCTGCATCTAATTCTACACTTATGGAAATGACTCTGGCCTCCCACCCAACACATTATAATCACCTTTTTTAAAGTTTGGAACTAGTGCCACAATTTTATAAGGCTAACTACTGAGTGGAAATTAGCCAGTTGGTTACAGATTGAGATGCTAAGCACAAGGGAGCAGTTCCGAACTACCAACCATTCCAATTAAGATGAGGTTTTCTATTCCTATAAAAATAGTTTCAGAAACCCACTGGGGAAGTTCTGTTCTTTTCCTTAGGGTGGCTACGAGTCAGAAACAACTTGATAGCACTGTGTTTAGGGATTTTTTTTCATTGTTGTGGTTACCTTGGTTTAAGCATTTCATAACAATTATGAGATCATAAAGTAAATGTATACCCTTGCATATTCAAATATTATGAAAAGATTTCACTGTAAAAAGAAAAACAGCACAGATATGCTTTTTCTCAGAAACCTTAAAAGTGAAAAGGCCTGTCCAGCCAAATTACAACACGAGACACAATCATGTATATAATTTAAAATGCTCTAGTAGCCATCAAAAGAAAAAAAGATGCATGAAATTAACTTTAGTGTATCTTAACGTTATATATGCTAACTCAATATTCCTAAGAAATGATTATTTCTATATATAATCAACATAAAATTAGGTATTTTCATTTCTTCCTTTGTAATGAGTTTTCAAACTTTGACATATTTTACACTTAGCGCAAAAATCCAGCTTGGATTTGGTGCATTTCAAGTGCTCAGTAACCATGTGTTGTTAGTGGCCATGATACTGGGCAACAGGGCTCTAGAAGAAAGCACTTTCAAGATCAGAGACAACGAATAGTGAGATGTACTAAATCTTTAGCAGTAAATGTATAACACAGATATTAGTCCAAATACACTACTAACTACAACCTATTAACAGTATGTCTCACATTCAAAAATGTAACTAACACAAAGCCTCACCATAGGGCGGGGACAGAGCTGTTTCTTAGTCAGAACTTAAAGACTGCTTTATTAGAAGAAGTCACCCCCTCCAGAAGATTTCCCCATTAACTGCCTCATCTCTACATACACTAACACACAGCTGTCACTGTTAAATGATCAGGGGTGCTCACGTGCCCATGACATTGGAGTTCAGTCACAATAAATCATTATTTCCAAGTTTCTGCTAAGAATGCACCTTTGAAGACTACAATTTGTCCAAATTAGACTATGACTGAGAATTCCCTGCCAATGCCCCAGTAGAAGATATAATCAAGATTTGACAATAAATTTAAGACAGAACTGTTAGATATGAAATCAAGATGGGTAAATCTACAGAGGGTAATTGGATTAGTGGTTTCTTGGGGGTATGGCAGGGGAAGTTGTAGGGAAATAGGGAACGAACAACAATGAATACAGGAACAAAAAAAATTCTAAATATTGATTGTTATGATGATTGCACAATTCTTAATATGACGGAACCATTGAACTATCCAGTTTGCGCATTATATGCTAATTAGACTGTTAAAAAAACAAAACAGAACTGTTAGGTAACCTGTTTAATAACATTGTCTTAATTTTATATCAAAAGGGCATTAATACAAAAACAATCTGAAACAATTAATCAACTATAGAAATGCCCTTCTACAGTAGCCCAACGACATTTATAATAATCACTTCAAGATGTTTTCCTTATCTTCAAAGTGCAGGGCAGTAAATTACATAATGCAGCTCTTCTAGCCAGAGTTTCTGTAACTCCCACCAAAGGGCCTTTCCCTGCATGGGGCTGAGTAAGGAGGAGGGGAAGCCACTCCTGTGATGGACAGGCTTCACTGGATTGCCATCCTGCTGGGTAGAAAATGAGCCCTCTGAAAAGCAGGAGGGGGAATCTCACTACTAAAGATCTCACTTCCAGAAAGAGCCAGGAATGAAGTGTGTTCTCTGAACCCAGAGACCCCCTGCACAGTCAACCAGTTGGAGGCAAAAGACAGCTATATCCTCAGAGAAGCAGCAGCAGAACCAGAAGGCAGAGCATGAGACAGAGTGGCGGACTTCACAGCCCACAGAGCAAGTAAAGCAGAATGTATGGGGGCAGGAATCTGGCTTATGGAGTGGGACGCCTCTGGACACTCAATTCAGGGAGTTGGGTTCACTGATTCACAGAACTTAAGCAAAATGCCTGATGAAGACCGGACACACAATGCCTGTGAGGCTTATCTCAGAGCTGCATGCCTTTGGGGCATTTATGAGGAATCCTGAAAGAACTTTGTAGCATGTCCTGACTGAACAACTAAATCTTTAGCATTATTCACCTGCATTGCAACCTATTAATTTCATTAGTCATAAATACTGTCTGTGGGTTCTGTGTGGCCACTGCAACACCTTATAGAATTTAGCGGAAAAGTAGAAAATCATGTTCGAGAGAGAACATACAAAGAAATAAGTGCTATGTACATGAGATAAATCATGTTGATGTCATATTTCAAACTAATTTATAAATAAATCAAAAGGAAAAAAGCCCTCACAACCTTACCTGGCACTGATGTACGTCCACTTCCAGGAAAACGGCCTGTGGATACTTATTACTCATAGAACTGAATGCTGGAGCAATCCTTAAGCATGGCCCACACCTGTGAGAAAGGTAAGGCAAGGCAAGGCACTTGGTAAGTAACCTGAGATTATACCAATTCATACTCTGTAGCACTGTTCAACTAAAGTACAAAATCAAACCTGATAATCTTAGCATCAGACTCTCTTCTCTTAGACTATTTAACTACAGCAGTATAGATACATCATCTTCAAGATTATAACTTTCAATTAAGTCTCAATATCTAATAGTGTTGAATCGTCCAGCTTTGTTCTCACTGGGCTATTAAGGGTGATCTAATGGAGGAATCTAAGATCTAAGCTTGTGAACTGGAAAACTCAGTATGATCAAGATGTCAATTTCCCCCAATTTGACCTTTAGAATCAATGTGAAATCTGTTCAGGTTTTCTTGTGGAAATCAACAAGTTTATCCTAAAATTTACAGGGAATGACAAAAATAACAAAAGCCATTCGGAGGATTATAACTGAACAAATTATATTGGTAGATATCAAGAAAAATTACACTTACTCCTCACTGACTACTTATTATCTGACCTTTCGCATTTACAATAGTAAAACCATCTACTCTAGTTGGTGCACTAACAACATACACCTAGCAGTAAGGCATCCTGAGGTGTGAGGTATGAGAGCAATGTTGGCTGGGATGGTTAAAGTTCTGTCAACTTTGCTGGTCAAAGTTCTCAGTGGCTTAACAGTTATGTAATGATGCAGCCACCTTCCATTTTATGGTCCTCCTCCATTTTTGCATATCACTGATTTGTTTTTTTTAATATAAAACCCAGATCTTTGGAACCTAACCATGTCCCTGAGTCGAGTAGATGAATTAGGTTTTATTAATTAGGAACCTATTAACACAGCAGCAAAAAGGACAAGCAAACTGACCAATTAAGAAGAGTCCAGATACATCAAGCTCATGTCAAAGGTGACACACCAGTGCAATGGGAAATGGGTGGTTCTTCAATAAAAAGGCTAAGTCAACTTTATAATAAACCAACTCAAGATGTGTTGTTCTACATGCAAAAGAAGAAGGATCTGAAGTGGAAGCTCCATAAAGTTCTTGGAAAAAAGGAACTAACAGATAATGGAATTTTTCCACAAACTTTTTGAAGCCCCTCACATAGTGAATATTTTCAAAACATTGGAGTCACCACAAGACACAACTGTATCAAAGGGAAAGAAAACAAAATCACTAAGTTGCAATACACAAAGACCTCTGTTTCATCAAAGGAGACCATTAAGACAAGTGCAGAGACAACCAACTCACATAATGGGGAAAAAATATATATAGTTGTAAAACATGATCGATAAGAAACATATCTTCCATGCATAAACAACTCCTAAAATCAGAACAAGACTGACATGCAAAAGAAAAAAGAACCAATTCTTGAAGTCACTTAACAAATAAGATTATACAAAGAATCAGTAAACACAAAAGATGTTCTGCATAATTAAATCATTGGTAATCAGGTGTCTGCAAATTAAAACCATGACTATCCAAAGAACTTAAAGAAAAAAGTATCAAGCCAAGATTGTCACTTGCAAATTAGTATAGCCACATTAGGGGGAAAAAAGGAAACTGGTAGTCTTGCTAATAAAGGGAGACATATTGCCTGCCCTCTAAGTCAGTACCGTTTATACTCGTGTATAAGCCGAGTTCTCCCAGCATATTTTTAGTGCAGTTTTTGTGGTAAAATTACTTGCCTCGGCTGATATTCGGGTTGACTTATACTCGAGTATATACGGTAAGCTAATTCCTGTGGTATGAACCCAACAGAAACATCTATACATGAGGGGGTGCACACACACACACACACACACACAAATGGGAATTTTTTCCAAAGCTATATATTTAAATTTTTTACAAAACAACCTTATCACCTTCAACATACTCTCCATTACACTTAATACATTTGTCAAATTAGAGATTCCATTCTTGGAAACATTTTTCCAAAGTCTTCTGTTTGGATGGCTGACAGCACCTCCCTTGTTTTTCTCTTCACCTTTTCTACATCATCAAATCAGTCCTTTCATGCTCCCCCTCTTCATTCATGGAAACAAAAAGAAGCCACACAGAGCGAGGTCAGATGAATAAGGTGCACGGGACAAGAGAGGCATGCTGTTTTTTCCTAAAAACTGGCATGAGATAGCTGTGTGAACAGGTGCATTGTCATGGTGGCAAAACCAGTCTCCCATCTGCCATAAGTCAGGCCTTTTTTGTCCCCCCCAGTTACCCAATCTTTTCAGAACCTCTAAATAGAAAGCTTGGTTAACAGTCTGACCAGGTGGTAAACACTCCAAATGCACTATTGCCTTCTTATCCAAAAAAAATTTTTAAAAAGCGTCGTCTTGATCTCTGATTTCACTTGATGAGCTTTTAGGGGGCAGGGTGACGATGGCATTTCCACTGGCTTGATTTGTTTGCTTTCAGGGTCCTAAGAATAGCACCATGTCTCATCACCAGTAATGATCTGGGGGAAAATGTCGCTTTGGAGAGTGGTGTTCTTTCAAACCAAAGCAAGTTTCTAGTCAGAGCTTTTTCCTGGTCAGTTAGAACTCAAGGCACAAATTTCACAGCAATCCTTCTCATTCCCAAATCTTCCGTTAAAATCTGCTGAACCAAAGAGCTACAAAATAGTCCAGGTAACTTCCCCATCTCTTCCATGGTCTGTCGTCGTCGTCGATCTTCAAGCACAAGTGCACAGATTTTACCGACATTTTCATCCATTTGGGAAGATGACCGACATCCAGCACGAGGTTTGCCATCAATCTACATTTCGCCTCTTTTGAAATGAGAAAACCACTCATACACTTGAGTTCTTTCCATAGCAGCCCTTGTAAACTGTGTTCAACAACGCAACAGTTTCTGTGGCATTTTTCCCCCAGCAGGAAACAAAATTTTACAGCTGCATGCAATTCTCTTAAATTGGCTGTCACAATACAGAGAGGACCATATGGCCAGCCCCACTATGAGACACAACGTCTCTCACTGACCCACAGCTCTACAGGGGACAACACTGAGTCAGTGTGGGAACTGCACTGGATTTGACCCCACCACACCCCCACCACACCAAGGCTAAACACTAATGGCGTGCAACAGAACAGCAAGGGGCGCAGAGCAAGGAAGTCCCGTGGGAATACCAAAAACAAACTTTGGGGCCAGGGGATGGTTCCTTCTCAGATTCAACTGGAAAAAAAAAGTTCACAAAAGTTCAAAAGAAAGGGATTTATGAACACCAAACACACCTCCAAAATTATTTTTCTTTAAAAACCTAATAAATCAGAAAACACTTTTAAAAAAAATGGCTGTCACAAAAAACTAGGTTCAAGCAAAACTGCTTTTACAGAAAAACTCACTGTGAACAGAGATAATCTTCCCAGGCAGCACCACTGGGTGTTAACTCAGAGCAAGTTACTGGATGTTCCTTTAGCGGGGAAAATGCATCCTACAAGAGCTCCACCAGGTGTGTCCTTTTCTCACCGACCATGAGGAGAGAGAAGTACTACCTTGAGGCTGCGGTGCAGACTACAAGTTAGCTGTCCTGGCCAAGCCTGCTATCTCCTATGCTAAGAACCCTTTTGAAGAAACATATCCAGTTTCCAGCTGCTGGTGTGTACACCTCAAGCCGAAGCCCAAACTGACACCCAAATACAGAAACTTCTGAATCGAGAAGCAAAAGGTTATACACTCATTTTTAAAGAAGCCAAAATTGTGAAAAAGTACAAAGATGCCAAAAATGTATTGTTGGTTACTTATAAGACATGCAACAGAACAGTTAAACATCAAGGTAAACGTAGAAGCTTTCTCTCCTCCCTACAGAGCAGTCTTGGCACTCCTCTGGCTAACCCCACTCTGAGGACGCCGGAGAGGAGGGCTCTGAGTTCTGCAAACCACAATCATGAGGTGTCTACTTCCAAGGGCAAGAGTCCTGCATTGATCTTCACAACACCTCCATCTGGATCATCAACACCCACTTGCTCTTTCTCAAGAAGTACGAGCAAAACAAAGAAACACCTTTCTCAACTAAAAATGTTGCTCAGTCAGCAAGAATCCCAAAGCAGCCCAACGATGGACTTGCATTAATTTCTTGGCTTCTCTGTAAAGGATGGATTTTGAAAATAAGAAATGTCTAACTTAATTTCTGAAACTAAAACTAATCAGAAAACAAGACCATTTGCTTAAAAAAAAGAAATGAATACGAGGTCCAAGAGCAAACTTTTCCTCAGCATACTTCAGTGATTATGGGGAAGTACCTTACTAGAATGAGTACCTGAATCCTGACTACTTCTGAAGGCGCTTGTCAGCATCACAAACCACAGGAAAGGTCTTTCAAAGGAGTCAAGAGATAGATGGACTTTAAAACATTTTCATAATTTAAAAAAATCATTTTATTGGGGCTCATACAACTCTTATCACAATCCATACAAACATCAATTGTATAAAGCACACTTATACATCCGTTGCCCTCATCATTCTCAAAATTCTTTTTCCGCTTGGGTTCCTGGAATCAGCTCATTTTCCTTTTTCCCTTCCCCCTTCCCCCTCACTCATGAACCCTTAATAATTTATATTCCCATCTGTACCGCTGTGCATCCTCTGGTCTAACCAGGTTTGCAAGGTAGAATTGGGGTCATGGTAGTTGGGGGGAGGAAGTGTTTAAGAACTAGAGGAAGGTTGTGAGTTTCATTATTGCTATACTGAACCCTGAGTGACTCATCTCTTCCCCACTACCCCTCTGCAAGGGATATCCAGTTGTCTACAGATGGGCATTGGGTCCCCATTACACGTTCTCCTCATTCACGATGATTCCACCCCACCCCCCTTTTGTATTTTCGTGATTTATGTCGTTTTCTTTCTAAGGAAATTGAGACCTATATTTCTTGGGCATCAGTAACCTCCATGCTAATTCAAAAAGAGGACCAAGCATCTCCGTCTTTGTACCCCCACAATCACCTGAATAGCTTAATCTGTAAAATGTCAAAGTTGTTCCTATTTTGACAACAAAATATTTGCTCTGATGAAGA